ATCATGTACTGATACGTAAAACCATAGAACTCAAAGAGGGCGTACTTTCTTTTTCACACAACTGTATGTGAATATTTTTGCAAACTTTTCTTGATACATACCAGGGAATTAGATAAGGGCTTCAGATTCTAGTCCAAAAGGTAATTCAGAACATACTCAGATAGCTCCTCCTGGTAGCTTTTCGAAACCTGTGTGTTTCCTGGGATAGTGCAATTTTTTTCACATTTTATTTCTTTTTATTGACTGCTTACAGCTGAAGGACGAGGTTGGAGACAAATCATCATCAAGAAAATATATTTATGTGATTGCAAAGAGTCAAAATGACTTCATGGTATATAACCCATCGATCCATCAATCTATCAATGCTGAGCTCCAGTCCAAAGCCCTGAACATTTTGAAAGTAGTGCCAAAGCCAGGAAAAGAAAAGAAAAAAAATTCAAAGGAGAAATCCCACCCACTCACACCCATATATTGATTCAAAAATATAGAATAGGTTGTTGCCATATAAGTGGGAATCGCAATTTTCTCTATTCCAATTTTTCTCCCCTTCTCTTCCATCCCCACCCCTAGGTGTGCAATGTATACTACTCCCTAAATGATGCCCAAAACTGTTCATTTTCTCTCCTTTTCTTGAAGTATCTACATCATCTGAAAATGGAAACAGGAAATCGAAGTACCACAATCACTTCCTTTGTCCTTTGGGGATTTTCATATTACTTGCCAGTGAATATCTTCCTCTTCTTTGTATTCCTCTTTATTTATGTCCTAACTTTACTAGGAAATGTAGTCATTATGGTTGCTACAAGTCATCTCCACAGCCCCATGTACTTTTTTCTGGCTCATCTGGCTTTTCTTGATATCTGTTTTTCCTCTGTCACCGTGCCTAAGCTCTTAGGGATTTTTACCAAAAGGCAGGGTATTTCGTATTCTGGCTGTTTTGCCCAAATGTTCTTTATTCTGCTAACAGGAAGCAATGAAGTATGCCTTCTTGCAGCAATGGCCTATGACCGATATGCTGCCATTTGCAAACCCCTCCATTATGTTCAAATTATGAACAAAGCATGTTGTAGATGGCTGGTGGGTGGTGCATGGGCAACAGCTTTGTCATATGCCTTGATAAACACCGTTCTTGCCTTGAAGCTGGATTTCTGTGGACCAAATTTTATCAGGGATTTCAGTTGTGAATTTCCATCTGTACTTGCCTTATCTTGCACAGACACACTCTCCAATTGGGTAGTATTCCTCATAACTGGTATTAGTATTGTCATATCTTCACTGACTCTGATTCTATTTTCCTACATCCACATCGTTTTAACTATCCTGAAGTTGAACTCCACAGAAGCAAAGAGAAAAACTTTCTCTACCTGTAGTGCTCACCTTATTGTTGTAGTTTTGTATTATAGTACTGGATGTTTTAGGCATATGAGGCCCAGCTCATCCTCCTCAATTATTGTGGATGAACTCTTCTCTGTTCAGTATAGCATTTCAACACCCATGCTGAACCCCCTTATCTACAGCCTGAAAAACAGGGAAGTGAAGGAAGCCATCAAAAAGCTAATGGGCTACAAACCCTTGATTTCTTGTACTTGGTGAAATGGCTTTATATAAAGCAAATTGAATACCATGCAGATGGCAAGCTGAGAAATAAATGTGTTCTTTTGGAACGGTATTCCAAAATTTCTTGGTTTATATAAATTAACAGATTGGTTGAATGAACATAAGTGGATTTCATTTGTATAGTTATAATTTACTAGGTTTATTTTTATGATCAAGTGTCATTCAGTTAATATCTATTAAAGCCATATATTTTTAGAACAATATTCCAAATAACTTCTACTCATGTGTCTTATTGAGATAGTAGTTTTATGTAGCAGGGATTCTCAAAGCTTGTGGTTTTATGACATCCTTAAGTAATAAGTGAATTTGTGTGACCATCCCCAAGAATCATAATATTGACGTTGATCATGATGATGACAATGATGTTAATTGCTAAGGGAATGAAACATTCTCCGTTGTGTAGTGCTATTTGCATGAAGAATTCTGTATGTCACTTGATAAAAAGTGAATATTTATTTTGATGAGACAAATATTTATTAATCTGAACACACACTTTGTTTCTTCATTTTATATTATCTTGATAAAAAGTGAATATTTATTTTGATGAGACAAATATTTATTAATCTGAACACACACTTTGTTTCTTCATTTTATATTATGGAGTTAATCAATCTCACATTAAAATAATGTAACTTAGTTTTCCCTCTAAAGAGTGTGTTCTTAATCTTTTTTTATTTTATTTTTTTATTTTTATTTTTTTAATATACTATGAGCCTGTTGAGAGTCTAGTAAAATTTAAGGATCCCAATTATCATTATCTTTTTTTTTTTTTTT